AAATTCGCGACTGTTAGTGTCCATGCCTGGAACAGCGTCGTAGGAAATGAGGTCTTTACCCTCCCCCACGTAATCCATATGGACTCCAGTGGACTCCAGTGGACTCCAGTGGACTCCAGTGGATTCCAGTGGCCCTCTTACCAGGCCAGATTGGCTGGCAGAATGCCCAGTCCACTGGAGTCCAGTCCAGTCCAGTCCAGTCCAGTCCACTGGACTCCCACTGGACTGCCAGCCACTTTCCTGAGTCCAGTCCCAGTCCAGTCAGAGTCCAGTGGATTCCAGTCATTCCAGTATATTATTATTATTATATATGAATATAACTAAAAAAGCGAAAATGGACTATACAATAGACAAGCCATACCTACAATTTTATTAATCAATGAATGGAAAGATTATAATTTACATATACTGTGGGTCAGTGATAGCTGCAATAAGGATTCATGATTTTGTTCAGTCTGCGGGGTGAGGTCACGTGACTTACTTGAGGGCGTGCCATATCGTCACGTCGCCTGTCTGTGGGATCGACGACGCCCACGCCCACGCTAACGACGCACACGACGCCCACGCCTACACCCATGCTAACAACGCCCACGACGCCCACGCTAACGACAACGACACCCCCAGCGCGAAACGATGGACCAAGGACGAGGGACAACGCCCATGACGTGGCAACGTCATGGGCAAGGGGTACGTATGCTCCACCACCCCGTTCCTCCGTTCTCACCACGACAGGCGCGACGCCAGCAACCACCCATGCACGGCACATGAGGACGGCGACAACGACGACATGTGAGCACGACGACGACACGCGAGCACGACGAAACGCGAGCACGACGACACGCAAGCACGATGACGACAACACGCGAAGCCGACCACACGAACGAGCGCCCACGGAAAACGGCCACCGCCCACCACCGCCTGCTGCCACGTCACACGAAAACCAGCCACCGCCCATGAAAAACGACCCCCGCCCACAAAAACGACGACGACACACGACGACAACGACGACGACTACACGCCGGGACGACGACACACGACAACGACACGCGACGACAACGACAACGACACGCCGGGACGACGACACACGACGACGACGAACGAGCGCCGACGAAAACGCCGCCCCCACCACACCTGAAAAACGACGAGCGCCCGCTAGCGCTGAACGGCGACGAGGGCCCAGCAGCATCACCCTTCCCCTCCACTCTCTCCCCCCATCACTACCTCCTCTCTTCACCACTCCCACTCCCCTCCACTCCCTCCCCCCTTCACACTCTCCCCCCTTCAGTCTCTCCCCCTTTCCCCCCTCCCCCTTTCCTTGCTCCTCTCTCCCCCCCTCCCTTTCCTTCCCCCTTCCTTGCTCCCTCCCCCCTCTATTCATTCCTCTCTTCCCCCTCCCTTTCCCTTTCCCTTCCCCCTCCCTCCCCCCTCTGTAACATAGAATCTATGTAAATTTAATTAATTTAATTAATGAATATACTTCAATTTTATTTTTTGTTTTGAAGAGGAATTCTGGATTAACTTAGGTCTGTGGCAGTCCAGTCCAGTCCAGTTTTGTGTTGGGAGAGTCCAGTGGAGTCCAGTCCAGTCCAGTTTTGTGATTTGCAGTCCAGTCCAGTCCAGTCCAGTCCAGTTTTGTGCTTGCAGTCCAGTGGAGTCCAGTGGAGTCCAGTTTTGTGCTGGGAGTCCAGTGGAGTCCAGATTTGTGGATATTGCCAGTATGTAGTGAAGTCTAGTGGAATCCAGTGGAATCCAGTGGAATCCAGTGGAGTCCATGTGGATTATGTGGGGGATGGTAAAGTACTGCCTTTCCTGGCCAAGTCATTGATAGGCTGTGCTTTCTTTGCAAAGTTTTCAATAAACATCTGGCATACCCCAACAGTTCCGAGAAATGCTCTTACATCATGTAGATTTTTACAAGGTCCCCAATTATCGATGACCTTTACTCTGTCTGTCTCTGGTTTCCTTCCTTCATATGTGCATAAATGACCTACTACTGTAATTTCAGCCGCACAAATTGTGGATTTAAAACCCGAGAAAGTTCCTCCAGCATATTTCATCCTGTGAACCACTCTGTTAACATTCTCAAAGTGTTCCATTACAAAACGTCTTATGCCTTCATTTTCTGGTATAGTCTTAAATTTTCCTCCAGGTAACTCATATCTAGTTGCTGGACCTCTGCAAGGCACATCATCAATATATGGTACTGTAACATCTGGTATTTCGTCTTGTAGAATGTACGTGACGTCATCATGGAATATTGGCACTGAATTAGTCCAACCCATTGGTAATGTTACAAGTCGCAAAGCACCGAAAGGTGTTTGAAAAGTAGTCAAATCCTGAGAAGACTCCACTAAAAGTCTCTCATCATATCCTACATATAAATCAAACATGCCTCCACATGCCCGACCCAAGAAATGTGTCGCAAGTGCATCTGTTGTAGGTGGTAAACCCGAGTGTGCTATTGTGACTGCATTCAAAGGTTCTAGACTTTGTACAATTCGCAAGCTTTTTCCGTCTTTCTTTAATATGCAAAACCACTGTGATCTATAAGATGAATTTGAAGGTTCATAAACCCCAGCATCTATCTTTGTCTTAATGATTCTACATACTTCTGAGAATAATCCTGGTGGGATAGGAATATTTTTCAAGACCCAGGGTGTATGTGGTATAACAGGAATATCTACAGGTGGGAAGTATTCTGGTTTGAATCTTCCTCTCTCAGAGTCATCCCATGCAAAAGCCTCATTATTTTCCATCATAAAATGGTGTAATAATTTTCGTTCTTCTGGCCACAAAAGTCACCACTGTGGACTTTGTCAAATTGTTCCTTTCTTTCATCAGTATAGCGACCCGTAGGTACAAAGTCAGGAGGTGTCCTATTCAACTTTGGGAGAGTGTCAAGAGGATTCCCTTTAATATCACAAATTATTCTGAATTTATCTGGGAGGTCTTGGTATACTGGCCTGATTTTCTGTGCAACCGGCTTGTATTTCTTTGTGACAAAAGTCTCTCTAGTTTCTACAGGATCCTCTTTCTTTTCCTTAGGTGCTGCGTTATCCTCATGATCATAAATGACATTCATCATGGTTTCAACATTTTGGATCCCCCCCCCAACTTTAAGTTTACATCAGAGAAATATTTCCCTAAGTAACTCACAAGTGCAGGATGGTCTTTTTCTTCTATGTGTTTTTCATTTCTCAAGGTTTGGAGGAAGTAAAGATTTCTCAATTCTTCTTGCTCAAATTTTCCATTTCCTGGTAATGTATATGACTCGCATTCAAAACCACCATTACCATCATCTATCAAGGTTACAGTGATCTCTCCTTGATCATTGATCAATTCATCGAAGACCGAAAATCCTAGTGTTTGAAAGTCCGGTTCGGTCCGGTTTTTTGATGCCCAGGGGCGTTAACCATAACCGTAACCGGTCTGCCTTTTCCCCAGAAGTCAAAAGACCAGACCGGACCGCAAAAAGACCGCAGACCGCGGTTTTTTGCGGTCTATAGACCAGTTTCGGTCTGCATCGGTTTTAACCGGTTTATGACCGGTCTTTAGGCCAATATTTTAAAATTATGAATCGGTAAATTTATTAAGATTTCTAATAGCTTCAAAACGAGCCCAAGAACGTCAAATTCCGTTAGGAATTGGTGCTTCTATAAAATAAGTCTGGTGCATCTATTATTCCCAAAAGTAATTTACATTTTAATTCATATCTCTCTCGTTTTTTTACCAAATCGTACGTTCTTGGGTGCGTTTTAAAGGGTATTTAAGGGGCTACAAAAGACCGGTCCAAACCGGTCAAGACCGGTTCACGTTAACCGGTTTTTTTGCGGTCTTTACATTTCAAAAATAAAAGACTGTAACCGCAGGTCCGGTCTTTTGCGGTCTTGGTCCGGTCTGGTTACGGTCTTTTTCCAGTCATGAGACCAGACTTCCAAACACTAGAAAATCCTCAGATGGCTTAGGAATTTCTGCTTTCATTACAACAGGTGGTCTTCCTCTTTCATGTGTAGGTAATACACGTTGTTGTGTTGAATTAGGATCCACTATGATAAGAGTTTGTCCCCTGTCTTTATAATTCTGTACAGTACTCTCTGTCAATACATCAAATGGTCTGCCCAATAGCACTTTTTATGCTGGGTCAGTGATGATGTGGACTTGTAGGTATACTGTTATAGTTCCAAAGATAAAAGGTACATTCTTAGCAAGACCCAAGGTCTGTTCAACTGTCCTGTTTGCACTCTGCATTTGAATTTTTATGTCTGGATCCCATGAGATGGCCAATTTCTTAGCCACTTCCACATCCATGGCAATAATTTGAGAACCAGCATCTAACAAACATTCGATCTGTCCCATTCTATTAATCACAGGGAAGACAGTTTGTAACACATGAGACTCTTTTGCAACATAGATTTGTTTTGGTTTCTCAGATGGGCCTAAACTCTGCAGGTATTGCGCTACTGGATCACTGATGATGATAGACCCTTTAGGCATGTTTCCTTCATCTCTTGTTGTCACTATAAAAGCCGCTTTTATATTTAAATCGTTAATGGATATCGCGTCCACCTCCAATTCGCATTTTGTAGGTTTTAATGGTACCGCATCAACGTCAGGCTCTTCCATCATAGTAACCTTTCTGTTTTGAGCTTCTTGTACTGGCATCCTTTTCTTAGATAAAGCTTTAATCAAGTTGTGTCTAATACCTGGGGAAATGCTTATCAAAGTCTCTGCCGTCAGTGTAACTGGGGCATTATAGAAATTCGCTAAAGCCTCTCTCTCATGTGTCACATTCTCAATTGGTGCTTGGTGTTTATAAGAAACAGGTCTTTTCTCAGTATCAATAATTGGCTCAAAATTATCAATTTTTATTTCTTCTTTTTGTCTTGGATCATTCAGGTCAGGAATATTTAAGTATGGTAACTGTTTATGCCTAGGCACTGGATCCTCTTCTTCATCATCCCTTGGGAGAAGTGGTTTATGCTTCTCTTTCGGTTTTGGTATAGCTTTCTGGGTTTTCTTAATTACTACAGGCAGAACTTCTTCCTCCACTTCTTCAATTTCTTCTTCTTGCTCATCATCAGAATCTTCGAATTCTGCTAATGGTCTGCGGTTTTTGGCTTTAGTTTGGTTCTCAAGAGCTTTCTTACTTCTGGTATTGACTGCATTCCTACCAGATCACTCAATCCTTGAACCTACGAGAAACCCTGCTGTCCCTGAGTATCAGCTTGACTGCGTCTAGTAGCTACATAACTTGCAGCTTCTTGACCTTGACCTTGCTGTCCCTCAAAATATGACAGAATGTTTTTCACATTGTTGACTATGTCAACTTCTTGTGCCGATGGATGTGCTACCTGTGCTGGCACATTATTACCCAACAGTGTATCAATTCGAGTAGCCATTTTATCTAACATATCATCTCTTGAATCTCTAATCTGGTTGGTGTATACTGATTTAACTCGAGCATCTATTCCCAACTGGACGATACCTGGCTCTCCGCTGTTCTGGGTGTAAATTTCTCCAGGTGATGCAAACATATTGCTTTGCACCATCATATCTTTATTGCTCGCTTCCTCAACAATCATTTTAGCAGACTTCCCATTTGACCCTCTAGGTACTGGTTGTCCTGTGAGCGCGAAAAACATCTTATGACCAGACATTTTAATTTTTCCCGTTCTAATATGTTCTTCCCTATGAGGGCAATTCATCACGAAATGCCCTGTTTCTTCACAGTACCAGCATCCATCTGAACCGATTCTCCAAGTAGGCTATGTCTGCCTCATGGTGGGTGCTGAGGTAACATGCTGGGTCATTAACGTCTCAGTTAATTTGTTCATTTCTTGTCTAGATGCTTGGAAAGCACTCATTTGTGCTTTTTCACTTGATGTAATTTTATCCATGAGTAATGCAACTTTCTGGTTTAATTCTCGGATATCATCTTCTAGCTTAACACTATGTACTGGCGTATTATGTGTGTGATGCTCTCGTGTCGTCCGTGTTTCTGTCGCATTGACACCAACCTGGGTATCACTTGAAGAGCTAATCCCTTGTGCACGTCCTGCAATAGTCTCAGCCATTTCAATTACATCTAGGATAGCATATGGATCCTCTGGACGGCGTTCTTTTCCATCGACAGCTTTTCCTTTATCTCAGGAAAGCTTAATATTGAGACTTCCTTCCACTTGTCCTCGGAAACTATCCCTTAGACATCCTAAAAACAGTTCTACCAATTCTCTGTTGCTTACCAAGGCAGGTGGCACCAAGACTAATTTCTGTTCTGCTCAGAAACCTCTAGTGAGGCTTTTAAGTGCAACAATGTCATCAATATCAATGCGCTGATGGTCATTACAAATTTTTCTCAAATTTGCTAGTGTTCCTTTTCCAGCATTCTTTGCCTCTGGATAGTCATCGATCAACACCTGTTTAAACTCCTTGTATTCAACTTCGGGAGCAAAAGTGTCAAATGCTTGCCATTTGAATTCCGTCATTTGGTCCGTATACCTTCCTAACTGTTTCTTCTTTTCTTGATCATCATTGATACCATGCTCTGTGAACAAGTCCTCCATTTGGTCAATGAATCTTAACAGCTCAATGGGTTTTTCCTTGTCGAAGTTAGGGGCTCCTCAGGAGCCTGGCAATGGCATCGGTCTAGACGATCTTCTGCCTCCAGTGGCAGGAGCTTCATCTTGGGTATTATCTGGCATGTTTGTAATATTTCTTTGGGCTAACAAGTTCGGGTTTATATTATCAGATGCCCTAACAGTTTTTCTATGAGTTGCGCGAGGAGGCAGTTGGGATACTGTCTCTGTTCTTAACGGAAACCTTTGCACTACTGCTGTTGCAGGTTGCTTAGCTTTTCATTTAGGTGGAGGTGGTAAACCTGATGATTCCCCTGCTTTAATAGAATTCGCTGTTTGTCTGATTTTTGGTGCCGTGGTGAATGGCTCTGCACTAGTATTTAAGTTGCTTCAAACCCTAGCGATTTTTAATTTAAACTTTCATTCAAATAAAATGATCCTGTAGATCACTAAACTTTTCAAGTCTTTGCCTTATCAAAAACAAAAGGAGACCCTCACGGTGGGCTCCAGATGATATGCGTTGCACAGGGATGAACGTGAAAGTGTGAAACATGCAAACAAGGATCAAGCACGTCGGGAAAACCCTAAACACCTAAACACTCACTCACACACACACACACACACTATCACAATCTCAGTGCACGAGTTTGAGGGCCTTTGGTATTGAGAAATACCACTTTCGTCTTCTTAGGTTAAGTCTCAAGAGATTTCGTTCAAAATGGGTTTTTATTATAAAGTGTGGTTTAGAATAGTTCAATGGAACAAAGTATGTCTTTTCTGGGAACTTGGTCTCTTAAATGCAAAGTTCTTTGATCACAGTTTCTTTTATTAACACAAAACATGACTTCAATTGACTTTTATGACTCCTGTGAGTTTTTATTATGTCACTATGCTCCAAAACTAAGGGTATGAGTATGCTGTCTCGTCTAAATGATACTGTGTTCTTAAAACCTCTTATTCAAAAGTCTCCAAGTAAGTTGACTCCCAAGCACACTGGCTTCGTTCACACTGTACTTTTCTGACCACGAAGAAATCTCCTTTAATTGATTACAACTGTCCACCTCCTAAGTTCCTACTTGGAGTGCAACTAGCTGGTCAACGGGGGGTGATTGCTTGCCTTTTGACCTGCCAGCATGCTCCTTATATACTCCAGGAACCCCTATCTATGTTTTACATGTGTTTTAATGCAGGATACTTCGGTCCAAATTACAAATATGAAATTTAGTGAACGTGTGGTATATTTTGTAGTTTTTCTCTGTGAACACTACAGATTTTGTAGTGTCGCGTCTTTCATTTTCAAACGCATCAGTGTTTGATGCGTACGCGGAGTTAGCCGACATAGCTATTCTTAGCTTGGCATGATCTTGCGTGTTTCTTTCTATGGCCCGGTTTACCAGTTTAACAGATGACATCACAAAATGATTAATGTTTCCTGATGTGTTGATGCGCATGCGTACGCGTTACCAATAGTCTTTGGCCTTCCGTCATTTCCGAGTTTTTTAATTAAAATGCCCTGTCTTGGCTCGTCTTTTCATTACGGAGGTCGGGAGACACTCCAAAGGTGTTTTCAAATGTCTTTCTTAATTGTCAGGGTGTTCTTATTATATTTCATATAATAGAATGTGTCTTTTTCTCATGTTTGTACTTGTGACATTCAGACGCATCAGTCTCTGATGCGTATGTGGGAATTGCCGTACATGACTTTCTGAATGGCTGCAAGCCACACTAAATCTGCACATGTTTACTACTTAGGTGTAGTTTAGTCTTTCAATGTTTCAGACATGCCGTTTAGGCGTCTATGTCATCTTTTCTGTATTTCTTGTATAAGCACGAGTTTCCACAATAAATCCATTATGTGTTTCTAAACCCTTTGGTAGTAATGCAATTCTTCTCCTTGTGTTGGGTGTTTACTCTAGAACCGCTTCGTGCTCTATTTCATGGTAGGTGAATCTTAGATAGGATCCAAGTATAATGTCATGACGTGTACTGCTGCCAGTTCCAAAGCCTTTGTCCTATTTTCAGATTCCACGCATTTGCATTTTTAGTCAACTGTGCCGGGTATGTGCATTGACTCTTTGTATCATTGCAATTGTATGTAGTGTATTTATTAGAGATGACCTTTATTGGTAAAATCGTTAAAATTGAATTTTATATGGGTGAAATGGTTTCATCTGTATCACCGCGTTATTTGAATTCTTGATGCATCTTTTATTATTTAGTAGCAGCGGGTGACAGCTTGAAAGGTTCCGCACATAATCATCTGTGAACGCAACCTGAATTTCAGTTCATGTAGGAAAAGACTTCATTATTCCATTCAACAAGCAAGGGGTGTTCCAGTGTTCGGATCGGTGTTTTTTTCCTGCGCACCTTCTATAACAAAAAAAAAAAAAAAAAGAGAAAAACGAATCAGTGTTGGAGTGTGATATCCTGCCAGAGAGGGGACACAGTTCCTTCACAACAACGCCTCTTGTCTCCAACAGTGATTATGGTCACAAATAACACTATTTTTCTTTGGATGTACACCATAAATACTTTGTGAACCATAAGTATGGGTAGAACCTAGAGCAGTACCACTTCTACCAATTTCCATTGTCCCCCCCCTTCTCCGCCTACCCCTCTTCCATCACATCCCCCTCCCCCTCCGCATCTGCATCTCCAACATCCTCAGTCTCCCCAGTCCACCAAGCAACAGGACCCAATCCCTGTTCTGCAATCGTGGATTGCAAACTGGACCTCCCACCATGAGAGGGGCACTGAGACGACACCGGTAGGGTGAAAATTTACTGCGACCAGTGACAAGCGACAAAGGTGCACAGCCCATTGGCGCCAAGCTGCATAGCAGGGAGGGGAAGGGAGGTAAGTTAAGAAGAGTTGTGTTTCAAAGGTGACATACGTTGATGAACATCTGGGTTGTGGTTAGCACAAAAGCAAAGTGTGCCCTGACACTATCCCAAGTCGTGAGTGCCACAATTGGGTCAAGGAAACAGTCGTGGGGTAGGTGATGGTGGTGTGGGGCAAGTGCAGCCTATGGCTATGCCCACCAGAGGACATGCCATCAAAAGGACTTGCCACTGGATGCCATCTCATCAGCACTCAAGGGATACATGACTATACAAGATTCAAAGCAGAGAGCACAGAGGAAGAGGTTGAAGGATTGCCCCCAAAACAAGAGAGATGGCCGGAATGATGAAAAAAGGCATGGCAGAGACAGAGTATTTCCTCAGACGGTGAGGGAAAGTGGACAAAGCAATGCCCATGTCAACAGCGGAGACTGAGATGTGGAAAGCGCTGAGGGAGGAAAGGAAAGAACAAAGGGAAAGCATACTCTAGGATTAGATAAGTAAGATATATGCATCAAAAGGGTCCGAGGTACGCAAAGGGTCCGAGAGGCCCAATCTTCTGAGACCCTGGGGTCATCACGGCAGGCCCGGCGAATCCTCTTAAATTCGATGAGATAAGTATGCAAAAGCACTGATAAGAATGGAAATTTGATGGAAATCCAAAGCAAGCTGTATGTTGGCTGACATCCCAGTCAACCTCTAGTAATTGCGAGTGCAGCAAGCAATCATTGACTAAGGGTGAAAGGCCCAGACAAACAAATACAAATTTAAACACGTAAATTGGCATCAGGGATTTTTCTAAATGCACTATAACTGAATGGGTACTGCTCCTCCTCCTTAGAAAACTGCCAGTGAGAATCAGGTGGGGACTGATAGTGTTTACAATAATATGAGCAAAACATTGGGTTTTTATCCCGATTTTTATGATAATTCTAGAGTACAAAAACTGAGCAGTATTGAACACATGATGCAACATTGCTGAACATCCTGTTGACGAATATGCCTTCTTATATTGTCCAGTATGTACTACGGTATAGGTTGATCTCTGTAAAACTGTGATGTATAGTTACCACACAACTCAGATGGTGAAGCGAGCCCCCCACAGAATGCAGATACTTAATTTAACAAATACAAAGCATGATACAGTAGATATTCTTACAATGCATATACTTGTAATGCATAAATCTCATAATGCATGATATTTTCAGGGGACCAACTTGGT